ACACAGCATATAAAATGTGTTATTCTGTCTTAAAAACTTTTAGTTGGGATTGTGCCAGAGAGGCAGCACTGCGTGCTGACTGCTGCGCGTTAATTTAAACAAAACAGTTCCAGGCCCCTGTTGCAAGTGAGTTGTGGTGTTCATCAATCACGCTTAGTGCTACTTGAAGCAGGATTACTTTGTTTCTTGCACTGTAATAAGGAAATGTACATTATTTGGACAGAGGCATTAATCTTTGTTGGCATCACCGTTTGAGTTTAACACCATTCCTTGAAATAGCAGCACATTTTCACATGCTGCGCTACAGCTTGTCGCAATATAGTTTCGATCATAGATAAGTAATCAATGTTTGTGAACGCGTGTAATTTAATTCAAAAGCCAAACCAGTCTTGTGGAGAGATGAACTGCAGCAGTTGCACCATTTATATGTAAATGAGGCATACGTTATTGACACGTTGAGTTCATTTTCCATCATTGCCTGATGAGACTCTTGATATTATGTGCTAACAATTGTTTGTCTTCAGCTGTCTCTTTTTGCCAGTCAATCTACTCTATCAATCGGGTTTTCTTATACAGTACAGTGTCAGGAAAAAAAGGTAGCGTAGGGGTCCATATTTGTCCTAAAACGTACAACTTTGTCATTTACCATACAGGGATCAAAATTGAACTCCTCGGTCCAATTAGCCACTTTTTATGGTTAGAAAAACGTCCATACATGGCAAAGGGACAGCGTCTGTACCTTTTTGTTGACATGTAAGAATGTGCGAGGCCACCCAGAATACATTTCTTAAGAGCCCGCTGTTGTGCGGAATGCACTTTCAAGAAATAAATAGTTGACATGGTAATCTAGACCAGGGATGGGTTACTTTATGCAATTTAAATGACCTATAAACGCTTCTTGTGACGTGTTGTTACTACAGAGTCAATCTGTCGTCAAAATCCAGTTTTGGTTGACTGTACAGACATCTTTTACACTGGTGACTTTGCATTATATTTGGTGTTGATTTATTGTCTCTTTTGCTATATTTTATTGAGCAGCCAGGACAGACACCCGTAATGCTTTTCCTGATGCCATATAAGGTCAATGGCAAACTTATTTTTTTTTCCGAAAATGCTGTTTTCAAATTGTACAGCCTTAGAGACATTCCACTATCAAGGTTCCACTGCATATGCATTCGAGCTTATGCCTAAACGCACAAGCAGCAAATAATGGGGTGTGCCGGAGCCTATCCCAGCTGTCTTCGGGCAGTAGGCGGGTGACACCCTGAACCGGTTGCCAGCCAATCGCAGGGCACACAGAGACGAACAACCATCCACACGCACACTCACACCTAGGGACAATTTAGAGAGTTCAATCAGCCTTCCATGCATGTTTTTGGAATATGGGAGGAAACCGGAGTACCCAGAGAAAACCCACGCAGGCTCGAGGAGAACATGCAAACTCCACACAGGGAGGCCGGAGCTGGAATTGAACCCGGTACTTCGCCTAATTCAAGCACCGACTTTGATCAATTTATTTCATTTCTTGACCTCCGGAATTTTCTTTCGACATTCATTTTTCCTCTCACATACTATATGTGCACATGAAGTGATAAATTGGAGTCCATGCAGTTCATTAAATATCCATTTGTAATTTCCTGAACTGCAGATAGTCTGACTATTACATATTTAGTCGAATCTGCTCAGGCACATGACAGAAATGAACATTTCGGGCTTATGTAAAGTGCAAAGCCAGTGAAAGGATGATCTGAGCATATTTATGGGCAGTATGTTTTATATTTCTACCACAGTGCGGAGGCTCATGTGATTGCTACCTGGGGGAAATCATCTTTTAGAGTCAAGACATCTGCAACACCATGCATTCCTTCATTGAAAACCAAAATTGTTAACAGTCCTGAAAATCTATGGAGACATCCATCTTCTGGACATTCGACTCATTAAAATTCAACTTCAAGAACCAGTCTACCCTTCATTTATTTAGCCCAGAACTGCTGAGCATAATTCATCTATTTTTTTACAAGTGCAGCCATGATGCAAACGCTGCTGCAAATAGTGGTAAAACCACCGAGAAAAGCACACGTTTCTCCTCAAAGACAGCATTTTGTAAATTTCCCCAAGAGCAAATAACCCTACATCATAGCAAATGATGACAGCCTCCTCATCAACCCACATTCAATTCTGGATGCATCTAGCATGCTCCTCAGCAAGGAGGACAGAAGCAGAAAACAGGACGAAACACATTAGCTTTTAAATATATTCTTTGCGTCTGCCGTCATTTGCATTTCAAAAGAAATATTTATTTTGGGATCCAACAGTCAATGGCGTGTACAGCAGTACACAGAGAGGCTCGGATAACCCGCAAAGGAACCCCGAATGTATTAAGACATTAAACAATGCCTGGTCCTATACTGGAAAATTACATGTGTTGTTCAACAGCGGCTGTACTGGAAAACATATGAGGAGGCAGCAAATTCCATGTAAATAATTATCATAAAACGGATGGTGGCGTGTCAGAAAAAAAAAAAACGGTGCAATTATCATGAATCCTGTGGGAAAGACATTTCATTCATTTTTGCTGCTGAGCACGCCAAGGTCTAACGGACTGATGATCCCCTAAAGTCTTAGATTGATAGGATTGGGCCAAGAGCGAAACACACCATTTATAATAGGCGGAGTGCAGCATGTCCCCGACAATACAGATTCACCTAATAATCCTTGAAGCCGAGGACAACATGTCCACTGCTATTTGATGCTGCGTCAAAGGCTTAGGAATGTGCCGCAAAAATGCTTTGGGTTTTGCCGAATTTTGCTTGACAGACTTGATTTATTTTAGTTAGCATGAGACATTAACACCTCTGAAAGATAGTTTTCTTTTCCTATATGTGTATAAAAACAGAGAAGATATTACGGGAAGCGGCTAATAGCATAATGCATTCACTGATATTGCACTTCTCAAGGTGGTTTTATTTAAACACGAGTGGGACGGATGAGTACAGTACATGCGTGTCAGGGGATGGACCTTGGCTCAATCATTTAAGGTAATAGGATGACCACATTTACAATCTGCTCTTCACCACATTCCACAAGGAAGTGGAAGGTCAACTTCTGTTGCACATCCCAGTTGTACCAGGCAACATGAAGTCGAATTCAGTCGGCAGCCATTGCACAGGCAGGTGTGTGTGGAGGACATAGTACAATGTCCCCATGGAGCCTGGCAAACAAGTTTTCACATTTAGAGACACCACAGTACACGAGTGAGCCCAGAAGTGACTCTTGAAACATTGCTTGCCATGCCCGGGATTTGATGATGCAGTCAAGCAGCAGACTGCAAGTAAAGCAGGTGTTAGTGCTGAATATGTGTGAGGTTTGCTGCTGCGACTAAAAGATGCAAGAAGGGGGGGGGGGGAGATGTCTGTGTCAAAGGCAACAGCGCATGGCATGGCCTGTGGAAGGCAGTGCGGCAAGTGTGACGGTGCATGAAAGTCAAATATCATTATGGCAAAGCAAAGAGGCAAGATCAGAGTAGGTTATGATAATACTGGCCACACACTCTAAGTTATATCTCTTCATCTCTCTCTCTCTCTCTCTCTCTCTCTCTCTCTCTACATATACATCAGCAACATCAAACCAATCAATTTAAATTCGGTGCCCATCTCTCCTAAAAGATAATTTGATACCTATCTTGACACATAGGATGCGATATTTTTCATTTAGAAATGCAACGATTCCATTTGGTAAAATCAAAATCGATTTCCACCCCTTATATATATATATATATATATATATATATGACATTTTTAAACAACTTGATGGATTATTTGTTTTATTACATAATTATATGCAACTACACATAAAATGTAATTCTAGAAAAAAATGCATTTTATTTTTGTACGTTTTCACTGAATTTCTGAATTTTAAACACTAGTCTAACACGGTTTCCTTGGGATGATTACTCACTTTACATTGCTTTAACATTATATATCTTTTCTATCGTTACCTGTCTCACTTGATTTTTACTTGGAATCAGATGGATCTACTCTTTCAAAGTGAGGCAACCATGTTTTTTTTTTATTTTTTTAATACATACCAAACATTGTTCTTTCACCTGTCAGTGGCCACGGAATTACACTCAAAACAACCAAAATCAATTAAATGAATGTAAATCAAGCAAACAAGAAAATCAATGAAAGTGCAGTTTGTCACGCCATCTTGACCAGAGATGGACTATGTCGTCGAGAGATATTTTTATAACAAATGGCAACAGCTTGTCAGTGAGCTGGAAATTTGGGGGTGATTTGGCGGAGTGTGATGATGCAAGAGGAAGAAGTGAGCACATTCTGTGTTTACTGGTGCGCAAGACACGACAGTAGGCCAAGCTCTTCTGGCTGGGGGGCACTCACACCTCTGCATGCAGCCCAGCGGAGGCATGCTTGAGGCCAAGATGTAATTACCACCCTTTTGGAGAGGAAGACTTTCTTTAGCCAATTTTAAAACCCAAGTGGGTCTGTTAGTTTCAGTTTGCCATGTTAGGTTATGAAGGCTAAACGCCAATTTTTCTTGTGCTTCTTCTGTGCAGGCTGAGTAGCAATAGTCCCACTTGAATTTAGATCATGTTTAAAAGGGAGCATATAGTTGGGACGTTAACGTAATCCTTCCGTGACCACGCTCACAACTAAATGACAATCTTACTGTATCCTCTCTCCCAATTGTGTTTTTAATAAGGAATATCTCTCTATAAAAATTGTACTTGAAAACACAAGTTGTAAAAATGACGTTAAAATGGGCAAAAATCAGCCTTTTTTTTAAGTAACACATTACAACATAAGACAAATATAATGACATCCCTCACATGACATGACATCAAACATCCCTCACCAAAAATTGGATCATTTTTGCAGATGTTTCTCTCTGTTGTTAAGCTAAACAAAGCATTTAAATTTATGCATTTATTTATTTATTTTAACTAAATGGGACGATTAACTGGTTATTGATATCGGAATGGGCATCGGCTAAAAAGAAAATAATACACATCGGGGTGTATCACAATTATGGACTTTTATAATTGTTTCACTCTTGTGAATGACCGTGGTTAAGAACTGCATCCGTGCATGGCAGTGAGGGGCACGGCTTTGGTCAAACTCGAGGAGGAGGGCAGGGATGAGTGACGTCAGGTAGCATTCTTGCTAGCAGTTTTAAAACCGCAAAGTCCCACTTTAATAAGACAGTAATGAAAAGATGCATTTAATGATGACTCCTGCCAAAGTTGAACAAATCCCATTACAATACCGCGGGCTAAAAGAGTTCACAGCACCATACTTTTATGTGCTAACATTGTGAAAAGTGATTATTGCAGATGGAATTTTCTGCTGACCAGTCTCATTTCTGTGCACTGAGCCTTCCTGCAGAATAAACAAATAATTTTTGTTCCATTCCTGTCTGTAGATTTCCCATCATAGCACCTTCTGTGCTCTCCCGAACCCATTTTATCAGCCGCATTTAGATGATGATTATCTGAGCACCACTAAACTTCAGCGGGTAATGCTGGACCATACTGGTCTGGAATGGTGCCCACCAATAGATTGGTTATAGTAGATGCTTTACAACTGACAAGAGAAATAGCTCACAGAATCACATCAAGTTTACCGCTTGGCAAAATGGGCCTGCAGGTTAAAGCCCTGGATCAGAGGGCGTGTTTCCACCTGATTTCAGATGAGGCAGCGCTTTTTAAAGTAGAGATTGGCCTGCAAAAAGGCTGGGGTGGTCAAAGAGGTGGTACTTGTCCAACATTTCCCTCCTGGTGGAATTAGCTATGCACATCTCGCTCACCCCTCTGATCCACAGAAAGGCAGCTGCTTTAGAAATGTATCAAAGCATTGGTCTTTTTTTTTTTGCCGGCATTGAAAGGAGGGGATACAGTTGCCCTCAGCTTGTTGGACATTTGCCAAACTGACAGGGAGCAGGCAGATGGAGAGTGTGCCCGATGTGGCGGTTGAAATAACAACATCAGTACGAGCACCCGAAACTTTCAAGTGCCTCTGGCCTGGCGACTCATACGAAATGACATTGCTAGCTTGCAGCTAACATCCGAGCACAGCAGAGCACCTGCAGCAAAACAGGGTCAGAGAAAGGTTGCCATATGGCTGCAACGCACAGGCTTAAATACGATCTAAATTTCTGTGATATAACCTTAAATAAATCACTTCTCCCGCAGTGTGTATAAAGTGGGCCTGGGAATATCGGAATCCCTTAATGTGAAAACAACATTTGTTTCTGTTTTAGTTGAGTCGTCCCTGTGATTTGCCTTAGAGGAAAATGCTTTTTATATCCTTTGCGCACATGCATGTATGTATGACGCCTGTGTGGCTCAGAAAGCTGCCTCTCATATGACCTGGATTAGAAGGATGATGTGTTTTGCTTGAAGAACAGGTTGTGCCTCAAGTGAGAGATTTAACCCTTGCTTGTTGTCAAGCGCGCTTGCAAAAGGCTCAATGTACATTTAGCAGCCTGCTTCTTTAATATTCACCATGGGCTGTGTACTGAAGTGAGAATAAGATTTTGACAGATGGAAGAAGGAAGGGGAAAAAAAATGGGCGGAGTTTCCCTTGAGGACATCTTGAGGGCATTTGTTGCATCAGTCTTTGACTGCGGTTTCTAAAGAGCGCTAAATAAGACGGGCTGACAGATCAAATAGAATTATAGAACCGTTGAAAGTGGAATTGAGCTCTTTGTGTTCACCTCTCTGATCTGAGATTTTGATGAACCCCTTTGCAGTGAGGTAATTTATGCTACTTTGCGACTGATGGGACTGCCATCTCGCTCCAATCACAGTATCATAACGTCAAAATGTGCACATCATTATTCTACCATTACAACAGTTACATTCAATGTTTCTCAAATGACGATTTAGAAAAGTGGTTCCACCTCACGACCTTGACTTCCATCCATCCATCCATTTTCAACACCGCTT